TAAAGCAAAGCCAGTAAGAAAAATCATATTTTCAACTGTGCAGCCACTAACATCAACTGCAAGCAAGTAGTAAGTCCATGCTGAATGTTCTATTGTTTTGAAGTGTCCTAAGCCAAATAAATTAGTTCACCATCTTTAAATTCAACCTTACTCAAGTTATTACAGAATGAACAAAATATCAGGAATGACCTCTACCCTAATTCCTCTCAGAAACTTCTTGAGAGGAATCTCTACTATCTGCAATTCTTTTAGCATTCTTGTCTGCCAAGTCTCACAAGAGTACCCCATTAAACTCTACTTGTAGCATTCTAAGCCTTTTCTAGCCCAAAGTAAAAATTTTTCCACATTCTAGATACATATGAATTTCAAGAGTCTCACAGACAGATTTGTACAGTGATGGCCTGCTTCTATTATCAATTTTCTGTTAGTTACATTTCCTATTTGTACTGTAAAATATCTTTTTATCTGTGCTTAAGGGAAAAAGTATTTATTTTGTCTCACAGTTTGGAGGTACCATCCATCACCTCAGGTACATCACATATGACAGGAGTTCCTGGAAAAAGGTAACATAGCACTGTGTCTTCCTTTAGGAAGAAGAGGGTAATAAATTGGACTGTACAGTTTTTATTCTTTGTCATATTTTCCTGGCAATTTGGGATCTAGCACATGCAATGTGCCCATCCACATTTAATGTGCATTAAGAAAAATTCCTCAGAATCATGTTAATACTATAAACCTATCTAGAAAATGCTCAGAGTCTCCTTTCTTAGGCGGTACTATGTCCTATCAAATGGACAATATAAGGAATCACAACTGGTTACTCACATCTTCCCTCTGAAATAAAACTTTTAAGCCCCCCGCCCCCCTCCAAAAAAAGATTTGACCCTACATGAAAGAAGGTAGGTCGTTTGGGGCACACTTTGCCATCATAGAGGTCCTATTGGGATCGCTTCAATCTGTCCCTTTGCTTTTGGCCATCATGTGGTAAATGTGACTCTGACCTAGAGCATCCATTCCAGGATATACTCTGCCACTCTATACTTGAAGAAACATGGTTCCAAGACTGTGATCTGAAACCTCTGAGAATGTGAAACAAACAAATCATTATCCATTTAAGTTGGTTACCTGATGTGTTGTCACGATGAGAGCAATCTGACTAACATACCAACAAATAGCTTATGTAGAAATATCACAATTGAGTCAGGTGAAGAATAGAAGAAAGGGTATGTGATAGGTAGGGTTTTAGTTGGGGGGTGGTAGGGGAGGACGGGAGGGAGAAGGTATTGTCATGTAAATCAATCTTGTTTCTAATTCAAATAAAAATGATAAAAAAGAAATATCACAATTAGGATATGGAAACAACTCCTCAAAGTAACTTTTCTTGTGTACTCTTGTAATAAACCTCTCACTGTTAACTCCCAATAACCATGAACCGTAACTGCTTTTGTAGTTGACCCTCTGTACAACATCATCTAATAGAGTCATTGGAATCATGCTACATGAAGACTTTGAACTCAGCAGATTTATCTTTTTAATTAGCATATAATGTAATATGTTTCCTTATGGTATTTTCATGCACACTTTTTAAAATTCTATTTCACCACTGTCCTATCTGTTTCTTTCATCCCCTGCCCCTTATCTTTCTCACCCAAGTAGTCGCCATTGCATTTTAAGTTCACATATATTCTTTGTTTCTTCTGTATTTCTTAAGTCTCTTTTTCCATTTTACGATCCTCTTGCTAACATCATAAGTTTAACTCCACCTTTGCACATAAAAAGCATTAAATTTAGGGTGTGCATATGATAGAATGCTTGCTGTATTTGGTTTCCTGTTACTGGAATAAAGATTACTTAAAGAATAGAACAAGAAGATAGATGGCTTTGAATTGGTAATAAAAATAATTCATTCCTGACATGACTGGGGTGGTCATGAAATCTCATTATTTTTATCTTAAGACAAGATATAGTATCCAAGTTGGCTAAAATAAAAATAACCAGGGATTACCATTAAGATCTTAACTAGTAAGTGGCTATCCCTCTGAGAAATTTCCCTACTGAAACTTTAATGGTGAAATGGTCACTTTCTCAAGAGACCTAAGACATTGTTGCTAAGAATACTGAGATTTATGTCTACTAAGCATAAAAAGATAATAAGTATCTATGGCATTTTTTCCAAGACACAAAGACACAAATAGTTTGGTAACTAAAAAGAATGTCTACTTTACAAATTCTTAACAGATATTTTTAAACATATGCATGGTATTTCTATATATGCATGCATTGTTTTTAGTTGAAACTTCATAATATTTAAAAAACTGTTGAATGTGATAAACTACAGTTCTGATACTATCAACAGTACCTGTCACTTCTCAAATATTATTCCTATACAACTGCCATGTTGATCATCTACTTGTTACATTCTTCCAGAACTTGGAATTTTTATTTTATTCTGTTATTTCAATATATGATTTATTAGTTAATTATATAGAGAAGACCATATGTACCATTGACAAGGACAAGTGGTAATCATATTGTTCTTGCAGTTTAAATCTGTGTAATATTGATCAGACAAAGGAATTTCTAGAGTCAGTACATTCACCTTTAATGTAGATGGGTATAATATCTGTATGGATTTGTAAGTTAGCAGCATGAGACAGACACAACAGTATATTCTAGTCACATAAAAATTATACACTGGTTTAATTGAAATTGGTCAATAATGTCATAGATAAACTATCAGGAATACTAAAGAAAGCCTGACTTCAATAGTATAAATAAAATGTGACTTCTTGTTTCTTCAAGTCATCTTAAGAACAAGAGAAGATGCTGTTTTATAGCTGAAAAGGGGAACATGAACTATGATCAATGTATTTACTGAATAACATTTTTAAACATTAAACTAAGCTAGAGATGATGGAGACAGCATAGTGGGTAAAACACTTGCTGTGCAAACATTTGAATCTGCCCTTAGGACTTCAGAACTCACAGACTGTTGGTTATGATAGCATGCATCTCCTACAGTAGGAGGGGACATGAAGACATGAGAATCACTGGAAGCTCCTGGGCCAGAAAGATTGGCACGTAGAGTTGAATCAATTGAACCTGTCTTTAACAAGTCCAAACGATAAGGACCAAAACCCAAGATTATACCTGACTTCCACCAACACACATAGTCAACAGTCTTCGTGTTTACACACACACACACACACACACACACACACACACACACACACACACACAGACAATTTTATAACACAGAGTTGAGAAATCAAAATGTAAATATTAGAATTTGTATAGAATGTCATTTTCACCTAATTTTGTTTTAGATAAAACTGCAGTTAGGAATTACACCAGTGCAAGATATATTGACAAATCTGGTCAAAATAAATCAGAGTACTATTACTTTCAAACACTGAATACTTAAGATTATTTTAATTTTTATTTATTTATTTGTGTCTTAAATTTTTCCTCTTAAAAATAGTTCTTTAATAATTGTCTACAATGACTTCTGACCATATTTACCCCTCCTGTAATTCCTTCCAGATTCACCCACACTTCTTTACCTAGATTTGTGTCTTCCTTCTTTACCCCCATTCACCTAGTCCCCTTCATCATGTGACCATACAGTGGATGTGCCAGGGAAATATCCTTAAAGAAAGGTTACTCTTCTTCTCCCAGTGTCTAAAAATTACCAACAGATCTTAGGCTAAGTGTGGCATTTTTGTGACCATCTTCTCTCTCCATGGTAGGCATTGGTCTGACTTTGGCTTGTGCAGTCCTTGTGCATGCTGTCACAATTACTGAGTTCATTTATGACACTACCATATTGTGTCTGCAAGACACTGTTTCTTTGTATCTATTAAGTATCTTTGACTTATATAGCCTTTCAGTACCTTTTCCTGCAATAATCTCTGAGTTTTGGCAGGAGAAAAGGCAATAGATATGTTCCATATAGATGCAATCAAATAGATATCAGACTTGAGTATTCAGTAGTCTTTTACTTTGCTCACCTTGGCCCATTTTGCCTTTCTGTGTTAATCACCATCTACTGCAAATAGAACTTTCTCTGATGAGGACTGAGAGATGTACTAATGTGTGGGTATAACAATGCATCATTAGTACTTAGCTTAATAGTATGTACACTTAATAGAGAGGCAGTAGTAGGTTCATCCCTATAGCCTATGCCCTGCTATTCACAAATTCATCACGCAACAATGGTGTCAGGTATGAGTTTTGTCTTGTGTAATGGAACTTAAATCCAATAAGAACTTTGTTGGTTATTCCAATAATGTTCAAAGGGCTATTGCAAGATTGGGCAAGTCTTGCCAGTCCAGTGACTATTGTAGTTCTCAGGGTTCACTGTTGGATAAGATTGGTGATTGCTTTCTTCCTCTGAAAGTATGCTTCATAACTTACAGCCCTAGAAAAGCTAGCAAGTGGGGATGAAGTTTACAGGTCAGTAGCAGCTTAAGATCGCTAAGCATTTATTTCTTTATTTATTGTTTGTTTGTTTGTTTGACAGATTCATGAATTTACTTCATGAATTCTCTTCTCCCACCCCTTCTGAGCCTACAGGAATTCTCAAAAGATTCCCCTCTTACTTTCATTATTTCACTCTTTTGTGTGATTCAACGAATTTAATAGAGTTTCTTGCTTGAGCATTGGGAAGAGATTATTTGCTATAGCAAGGGTAACTCATTAACAGACTTGCAAGAAAATGACTCATCCTTCTTATTAGCCTATAACGAACAATATTTTCTCAAGAAGACAAAGGATTTTATTGACCCATTCCTTAACCTTGATAAATTATTGGTGAACTCAAACTTGCTCAGTTCTGATGCAGATAACCACACTGAGGTTTTCATGCTACCAAAATAATATAAGGATGTAAAAATCAGTCTAGAGTATCATCACACTGTCTATCTTTTATCATTGTATTTATGTGTATTTATTGTTATTAAAATAAAAATGTATAATATTTAAATTTTTCTTTTTTATAGGCCACATTATTTGAAAACATAGGTCTTATGAAATATGAAGAAGTATTCTTAACTGCATCAGCAATTCACCTTACAAAACCAATTTCAGATGAAAACATTACAGTGATTGACACAAACTTTAGTGATATTCCTGTTCGTCTGTACTTGCCAAAAGGGACATCTGAAAAGCAGAGATCAGCTATAATATTCATTCATGGTGGTGCCTTTGTATTGGGAAGTTGTAGTAAGTGTATTTTTAATGTGTGTGTTGTTCATATATTCATGTTGACATAATTTCTGTATGCCTTGTATCCATAATTTGACAGCATACTTGTCATGTATTACCCAAATGTTGATTTGGGTAATACATGCATCTTAACAAAGATACATTGGAATGTATGGGTCATAGATCACAAATATTTCTTTGTTTACACCATGGAAAGTAAAAAATCAAGTAGAAATAAGATGGTTTATTAGAAAAACATATTTTTAAATAAATATATTGATATCCTAGATTTGAAAATGCAACCAATAAGCATAAGATTTAGATTAAAATAACCTAATCACATAAATAAGATATATATTGAACTGAACCAAGTGTTTAAATTATTGTGTCTGAAATAATATAATCACTGCCATACTTCAATTATAATTGTTTAAGTTGTAGATTGTGATATAACAATAATTTAGAGGCTAGAATCCAAATTATAATCTTTTGTTAAAATTGTAAAATAAAGTAAAATAAAGCTGAGTAATCAGTTCCTGTCTGGATATTAATTCAGTAGCTAAGACAGACACACAAACACATACAGACACACCCACACATATGAGCACACACACACACCATTTTAGACTTTTGATGACTTATGGGTTCACTCCATAGCAATATGTACTTAAGAAACAACTGATAACACTCTTTTCCTCAAAGAACCTATAGCTTAATTATTATATCCACTATTTTGTCCTCATAAACTAGAACATCTCAAGATAAGCAGAAATACTATTGTGTTCAGCTGGGCAGCCAACCAAGTAAGCATTGTTAAGATAGTGTTTTAGTGGTGAAGAAACAGATTAAGGAATGTTTCAAAGTCTCACAGTTAGAAAGGGAGGAAGCAACAGTCTGATCAGCAGAAATCAAGGTATTCAAGCTCTTGCTCCTGCTGAGCAGGCCATCTATGCTCTCTCTGTTGCTGGAAAATGCCACCTCTCAAAAGCAGTTAGTCCATCTGTTTTACTTCAATGACATTTCTAAATTTCCATCCTGTTTCCGGCCTTAGCCACTACTTCCAGCACATAAGTCCATATGTTTGACATCTCCCAGGCCACTACTCCCCTTTCCCATTTCACACTTATTGGCATCTTACTGGAATCTTAATGATCCCCTCTTCACTACCCTCTACTTATATCCTGGGGAAAAAAACATGGTTATCTTTTGGTCAAGTGAGTCTCTCTGTTTTCCTTGGGCTATTTCTTCCAAATCATCATCAGATTTGTGTTTCTTCTACCTGCAATTGTACCCCCTTTGTTGACTCCTAAATGTATACTGTGTCTTCTGCCTTAACCTCTGTTTCTCTTTCAAGTTATTATGCTATCATGTTTTATTTTCTGACACACGTTTCCATATACTGCAGTGTCTGTCTGTTTCTCTTATGATTCTTTATAAGCTGTGTAATCTGAAAGTGACCTGTGCCTTTTGCTGCACTAATATTCTTTATTGTTACATTGAATGAATGAAATTTCTTTGCACTTCCCTTTTCTCCATAACTTTATCCATTCATTTGCAGCTACAACTATAAAACAAAGAAAAACTAAAACCATGTGGAAATAAGTTATTGTTTAGACTTTACAAATACTAATAATCCTTAGATTTTATTATTACATGTTTTAGGTGTTGAGCCTACATGTTCTTCTACTTTATTTTTTGCTGTTCCCGCCCTAGCCCTCGTGTCCATCCTGTAGATATTGGCCTTGTTTACCATCTTTACCATTGTTGCTGAATTTAAGTTCAATAAATTCAACTGTGGACTGGGCTGCATACCTGGTCATTTGTGTATCACATGGATTCCTTGACAGATAGCATTATATTCTTTTCTCAAAGATTAAATGGGGATAACACAAGAACACAATAAATGCAGCTATCCCCCAGTAATGACAACCATGCTCTACTTTCACTCTTTTTTAGCTCCTACACTTTATGACATGTTCTGGACACAAAATTTTGAGCATCTTCTTGTTCTTGTCCACACTATGTAGATTATCATTTATATTGTCTCCTGTTCTTTCACTTCTGCTTGCTCGCCACCACTTCTTTATTTCTGTTACCTTCTTTTTCAGCCTTCCATAATGTGAAAATATGGCCACATGAATTATTGATAAACATTTCATGAATAGTATTCAATCTTGATAAATCTTTTGTCAACTATTGGAGTATAGATGCACACATTTTGTTATTTTGTCCACTTTCTGTCTCTGCTCTCTGTGACTTTATGCTTCAAACATGATTAGCTGCAATGTTTCCCCAAGCTGTGAATTCTCAGTTACACATTTGCTAAAATATAATTCTATTTTTCTTTTATTTGTTTTCTGGCAATTATTATGTTTTTTTATGTTTAACATGACAGATAGCAATTTATGCTTTGGAGGTGGATTAGTATATGTTGATAATTAAAAAGAATCTTGGCATTACCTTCTATTAAAATTTTCAGAAAATATTTTCACTTCTACCTCTTTTAAGTTTATTAACTATTTTTAATATGGTTAACTTTTGTAAGGAATTACAAATGTACAAGTACACCCTTATTTGGTTTTAATGAGAATATAAATTGTCACTTCTATACAGAAAGGTAACCTAAAGTTTAGTTATAAGATTATTAAATATGTATGGCCCTCTGTAAATATGTAAGCTGCAAAAGAAAAGCTCAGTTGTTTTAATTACACCAAATAGTATACCTTGCCTTAAGTAAGTTGATACCCCTTCATTGAAAAGTTCCTAAAAAGAATAACTATGGTGAATCTTTGAATTTGTGAAAATTATAATACTGTCTACAATATTATCATCAACTTAATTTCAGATTTTCTAATACATCTACCAAGAGTCTTATGAAAAATGGTGGTAATGAGTTGCAAACAATCTTTTTTCCCCCGGACTCTGACACCATTTTATATTCATTTCTTTCATTTCAGAGATGTCAGCTTATGATGACCTGAACAGATGGACAGCAAACAAGCTTGATGCTGTTGTTCTGGGAATAGAGTAAGAGAATGATAATACTTCTTATCATAGCCTTTCTAGGTGCTTGTCACCAAGCCATCAAATACCCATATCCTATGGATTTTTGTTTACATTAATTTTCTTATGATTTTACTGTTAATGTATACTCAAAGGCATCAGTCTGAACTTTAATTTCTGTCATTGTAGAACAAGTGTGAGGCCAGAGGAATAAGCATCTTTGTTAATACAGCTATGAAATCTATGGGACTATTAACTCCAGGATTCTAAAGTACCTAATTTTACCTGCAAGTAACATTCCTTGGAAGTTTATTCATTATATGTTTGAGACATTGGGTGTCATGGGAGCTGTTTATAAACATTGAGTGGGGTTAGAGTTGTTCTTGGTTCTAATTCTATTAGGTGAAAGTTTTTGAATATTTGAACATTTCAAGATATTACCCAAATGATCAGTCTTAATATTTCATGACATGACTTTTGCAAACATTTACAATAATAGAGCAAAAATATGAATAAGTGCTTATTACTTTAGGACTTCATTGTGTTCTCTGAACTACTGAGACTCTCAGCAGGAGGATGAAGAGATTGCTGCACATCTTTCCAGTTCCTTGATGAACAAAGAGATATACAGAACTGTCGACCTCAGACAAAATCACTCTAAAGAATTTCATGGTTGAGGGTATATTGGGGGCAGATAGGATATACTAGAGAGATCAGTTCTGTCTTGCTCTTAATTACTTCAAAATGGAACCAGACAAATTGCTTAAGTTTTAAGAAATATCTAAATTGTGACAGTAAATATGCAGTGCCTTTAGTTACTGCTGCTATTTTTTTTGATTTTTTGAGACAGGGTTTCTCTGTATTGTTTTGGAGCCTTTCCTGAAACTAGCTCTATAGACCAGGCTGGCCTGGAACTCACAGAGATCTGCCTGTCTCTGCCTCCCGAGTGCTGGGATTAAAGGTGTGCGCCACCAATGCCTGGATTATTTTAACTGCATTTAACCCAACATAATTTTAGTGAAAGGTTTTTAAATAGTGAAATTTGTTTAAAATTTCTACAGGTTACATTTTAAGGTGTTGGCTGTTCTTTACCTTGAAGAATATTGTTTATGTATTATTATGCTCAGATCAAGGTAATTTCAAATATTCCAGGCACAGATTAAAATATGAACACAAGGACCATCTGATAAACATTGCCTTATATATAATCATGCGAATAGTTCACCAATTCCCATGGATTTAAAGGGAATAGAGTTAAAAAGTGAGATAGTCAAATTGAGTTATAATCCTACGATGGAGCACAGACACACACCACTGAAGACAAGCAAATGCAACAGTATTTTAGTCTTATTTCAACCTTATGAATCAATTGAAAAGTTTTAGTAAATCCATTGGTATAAAATATTCATATTTCACATTCTTCAAAATAGTCATATTTACTATTATATTCTCTGCATTTAAAATATCTCGATAATTCTAACAGTGATTCTGAATTGTTTTTGAGTCACCAAGCACACTGAGGTCACTGAAGCACACAGGCTTCACAGGGAGAACTCACCTGTCTCACTCATTCCTCCTTAAAACCAGTACCTGAAATCCTCAACTGGAATCTACTCCTCACTTTTAAGACAGAAGTTACTAGTGAGCTTAGGGTTAATTGGTGAGACTTATGATTTATGATTCAAAGTGTATCTGTTGGTGAGAGTGAGAGATATTTAGTTGTATAGTTTTAACAAGGGCTTTGTTGTGTTTTTACTTGATTTACCTCTACAGCTACAGACTTGCTCCTCAGTATCAATTCCCAGCTGCCCTTGAAGATTGCGTTTTTGTGATCAAGTTCTTTCTCCAGGATAAAGTCCTTGCAGAATATGGAGTGGATCCCTCTCGCATCTGCATTATGGGAGACAGTTCTGGGGGTACCTTGGTAGCAACTGTGACTCAACTGGTATGTTGTATGTATTATATTTGTTTTAATCTGAACACAAAAAGCTGGTTTTAGGTGTAATTGCATTACTTTTAAACTTCTGTCTGTGAAATTTGAAATAAACAAGATAGATTATTCATTTTGATGAACATTAGCTTTATATGTGGCTTTGCCTAATGCTATGGAAGCCGGTTTTTACAATCCTACTATTTTAGGGAGTAGGAGGCAGTTTCTGGGCACTGAACCCAGAGCTGTGTGCTTGCCAGGTAGACACCCTACCACAGGATTATGCAACCTTCTCTTTTAAAATTACTATTTCAACATTGGCCTTTGATACATTTCCCTGTAGTTTGTGCAGGCCTTGAACTTATGATCCTACAGGTCTAGCAACTCAAGAACCATGCTATGTCTCTAATTCCAGTCCACTGTATTTGGTGTGCTACAAATAATGTTGACATTCTTAGCACTAACAAAATAAAACAGTCGTGTGGTAAAATAAAAAAGAAAGAAAACTGTCTAACCCTATTTTAATAAGCAATTTTTTTGTTCACAACTTACTGAATTTACAAGGAAAACTGTTTAAAAAACTCAATATTTTTGTATCATTGGAGTTGATGAGTAAATTAGTTGCTCTTTCTTCCTCTGAAACTAACCATCTCACAAGAAGAAACTGAAGGAGAAAAAGGAGTTATAATGGATCCTGTGTTGAAATGTTCAGTGAATCATAGCAAGGAAAAGGTCTGGTAGTGACAGTTGTCTATCACTGTGGCTGATGGGAAGGCTGCTTGTTCTTATTTCCAAGTCTAACATTCAGAAAGAGGTATTTGCTGGTACTCAGCTCCATTTCTCATTATTTCTCCTTTGTTCTCCTGAAGCTCAACCCATATGGAGGTGCCTCCATGTTCAGGGTGAATCTTTTTCCCTTAGTTAAACCCTTCTGTGATACTCTAGAGATACTTCCAGGCATGTGCTTTAATCTCTTACATGATTTAAGTCCAGGAAAGTTGATATTGATGAGTAGCCATGTGATAAACATGTAGATTGTCAAAGATAACATATCTCGATATATAGTCTAATGAAATCAAGATACTTAATATTAAAATTCTTGCTGAGTATAGCTAAATAACCATTCTCTAATAGGTAATATTTTAAAAGTTATCTCAGTCAAATATATGACTCATATGCTCCCAAATGCTTTTGTAGAACAAAATTGTATCTTTTCCATTATATAGATTAGCTTCTTTTAATAAAATAGATGTAGTCTCAAAATTTGTATTTATTGAATTTTACTGAATACTTCCAGGTGTTTCTGTTTTTGTGAAATTTTTTTCTAACCATTCAACCAATATATTTCCTTCTTCAAAACTAATTAATTTATTTGAAGAAAACCATCTTTTTAATTATTCAACTATTATAAAATTCCAATTAAATGCCATCTCTTATAATCCAAAAATACTCAAAAATTTTTTCTTTAATCATTTTATTATTCTGTTTGATAGAGTCATTATTGCACAAAGAAACAATGTCCTAAAGCAGATCATGGTTTTCTAACATAAAAACAGAAGATAAATTACTAGAATATAAATCTGTGTGTTTGTGATTTAAAAAATATAATTTATAAAACGATTTCATTTATAAAGTGCAAAGAGTTTCTTGGGAATCCCATTTCTTTCGTATTTAGTTTTATTATATAAACACAGAATATTTGCACGAGTGGAAAACTAATGATGTTTAAGAATGGAGAGACATTGTTTAACCCTCTTCATAGGCATTAGAAATCTTAATATGAATAAGGTTCATGTCATAATCATATTGACAAAGATCTTTTCTTTTACACAGATAAAGGTGCATGTCTTTCATTAGCAATAAATTATAATATTTTACTGTATAAGTAAAAAGTACATATAATTTAGTTCTTTAGGGTGTCTGCTTGTCTGTTCTTGTTAATTTATTTTACAGAATATTTTCCTTTCTTTTTCATAATTATTATTTGTTGGCATAGATAATGAGCTTTGTCTGTGCTTGTCCTTTAAGACATTGTCTACATTCTCTATGAATAATATATTTCTGATTTTCAAGTTTTCTTTCATCTGTCTCATTAAGAAAACGTTTAACTCATGAAAGGTATTGTGAGTTTTACATGGCAACATGAATGAAATGATATGACAGGTCCTCTTCTCATCTGCATGATTCACTGTGCTGTCAGAATTCCTTTGCACAAACCCAAATAACAAGAAATTACCAAGACTGTAGCAGCTGAGCTTGTAAATAAGCCTGAGGTCCCTTGGCTGCTCTTGCCTCAGAGTGACACTATTCTAAACTTTGCGACTGAAAACTAACATAATGATTTAGAGATTTAAAATGGGTACTTCACTAGGGAGCAGCACTGTGATGTTTTCATATGAAACCTAAAGTTCACAAGGCTCTGCCAAGTCATTTAGAAAGGTAAAAGAATGATGAATGGATTAGTTAAGTAAGGATAAATGATAGTTACATGCTGTGATGGCTCAGAAAGTGTCAGGAGTAAAAATTAAAACAACAAAAAACAGAACTAGCGTGATGAATAAAGATATAACTTTGTATTTAACAGAATAAGCTTTAAGGGGTGTGTGTGTGTGTGTGTGTGTGTGTGTGTGTGTGCACATAAATAGCATAATAGCATAAATAGCACACACAAACACAAATATATATATGTATATATATATATATACATACATATATATATATATTCATTCTATCCTAGCATTCAAGGGGCAGAAGCAGGCAGATATCTGAGTTCCAGGTCATCCCAGCATACAGAGTGAGTTCCAGGACAGCCAAGGCTTCATAGAGAAACCCTGTCTTGAAACACACACATACACACACACACACACACACACACACACACACAGCCCTTTGCTTTAGTTTTTTTTTAAATTCCCTATCTACTTAACTGTGAACTAAATTAACTCATATATAACATACAATGAGGAATGATCATTGGTACACTGGGATTAAAGAAAATTGCTCTTTAGTTTAGGAAGGGATTCTCTTGTTCTTGTTTGTTTTTGTTTTTCAAGACAGGGTTTCTCTGTGGCTTTGGAGGCTGTCCTGAAACTCTTGTAGGCCAGGCTGGTCTGGAACGCATAGGGATCCACCTGCCTCTGCCTCCCAAGTGCTGGACTTAAAGTTGTGCATCACCACTGTCCACCAGAAATGATTTTCTGAATTAGGTACAATAAGCACAAGTGTATATGATTATGGCAAAACATACTAAAATACATGGGTTAGTTGTTGTCAGAATACTAACCCTCTGGTTGTAGCTGGTAAAAATTCATTAACTTTTGACATTTTAATCCTCAGCTGATTGACAAAAGTCAATTTTGCCTGTGACTTGAACTAAGATAAGGAAAACTCTATGTGCTTGATTAACAAAAATACATGAAGAAAGGCCTAGGGCTGGTAGATTATAATATTTTTAACAAAATGAAATTACTGAGGACTAGAAAATAGGCTCATCAGGTAAAGGTGCTGGACACACATATAGTACATTAATAATAAATAAATGTAATATAGTTTTTTGAGAAAAATAAGATTATAAAAGAGACACATCAGCAACAATGATTAGGGGATTAGGAGCATGTACTGGAGGGCTCAGAAAAGAAACCACTACACAGAGCTACCGTGGTGATTTTTCTCTGTTGTGCTGGGATGCTAGGACCCACAGTGCTCCTACAGCCCTTATGCTGCCTGCTACATTTTGTGCCCCATATTTCACCACCCACAGTGGGAGCCTTATGTAACCTTGCTTTACTGCTACCCAAAATGCCTTTGCATTTTATTGGAGTGGCTACTAAAATTCTGTTAGAATGTATGGAAGAGAAGTCTATAAGTCAAGCAGTTTAAGACATCATGTTTTTATATCCCTCTTTACAAAATCCTAAGTTTTCTATATTTGAAGAGATTGGAGTTAGTCTGACAACAGCACTGTTTTTCATTCCAAGGTTCTGACAGTAGGGTAATTGGAAGAAGGTCTCAAAGACTTTACAGAGTATTAGGCCTTCTTTTGATTCTGTGGTAAGGGTGATGCCCCTCCCACAGTCCTGGTGCAGTGCCACAAAAGGCTGTCAGATGTGGAAATACCGTGAAGAGCAGAGATGTGGCTACCAGGTCTTCTTTCTGTGCTCCAGGGTTCAGACGCTTTGGCCCAGAGCAGACCCTGTGTCCATTTGACTTGCCAAAGTCAAGATTTCCATTGCGGCTCCTCAGGTCTTCAGTGTCCTAGATAAATTTAGGCACTTCCAATTCTTCCATAATTGTCTAACTGCCCTCTTCAGTGAAAAGAGACCCTTAACTGGTCACCAGTGTCTCTCTAGGGGACTTGGCATAGGATATTCTGAGACTGATTTAGTGTACTGAGACCCACTCTTTTGCAGTTTATGATGAAAACATAGGTATTAATGAGTATTCATGATGTTTTTATTTGGAAAGATTTTATGATAAAGTTTAAAAAATGATTTCTTAGTAGCAAAGACAGATGTTGCCACCGTGAAGTTTTACTAGCTTTATTACATGTTACAGACATCAGAATTATGCAGTGAGAATGCAGCTGACAGTTCTTGGAGCTAACCCATGGGATCATTTTCCGATGGAGGAGGTCAACACACAGGGTGGTGGGAGTACTTGTTTTACGAATAGTCACTGTCCTTACTGTAAATTCCTTGTGAAGTCATAGCACTCCTTTTTGTGGTACAATTCATGCCAAAAACTCCAGCATTGTATTAATCAAATACTGTGCACATTTTCCCCTGTGCATTGGTATATTGAATGACTCCCTTCAGGTATTCCTGATCCTGGCAAGAAAGTAATGGCAGTCAATACCCTTACTCTCTCAACCAGGTCTTTGTATGAACTTAGAAGTCTGCCCCACTGCAATTATCTTCCTTGGCAGGTAGTTGGTTAGTGTTAGTATCCAAAGCAAAGAGACCTCAATTGAGACATTCACAGATGCCCAAGGACAAAACTTACGTCTAAAGTTGTTGAGCCATAGCTCTCCGAGAGAGAGAAAACAAAAGTGTCCTGGATTCACTGTGCCAGGAGATAGAAAAGTACTGTTGCAAGCTAACCTCATATTAACCATAAAGCATGCCTATTCTTCACTTGCCAGTCCACTAACAATAGATCTATGTCTTACATTTGTAATTGGGCACTGTGTCCTTCCGTGTCTGGTTGAGGTTTTGCTCCTATGGTCTGGGACCCTTGTGTTGCCACGGTAAATGGCTCAGATCCTTATCACTTTCTCTAGGCATGTGCTTTTGACCAATGAGAGAAATTTCTCTATCACTTCAAGGCTCCTGAAGGAGAAGTTTTTAGAATGGAAAAGAAGCTAGAAGAAGAAGCATTGGGGATGTTAGAAGTAGGAGAGGATTATTAGTGTAGAAACAGAATAATAAAGAGCACATGAAATAAAGAACGTGACCCTCAGATTGGGTGAGAAGTTACTATAGAAATCTTTTAACCCCTCCTTTGCTCCTCAGAAGCATTTCACCTTTGGGACCCTGGGTAGGGTTTGGAGCAGGTCTCATCGCCTTTACAATTACAGTGCTGTTAGGGAAAAAACAAACAAAAAAACAAAAGAAAAAGAAAAACAGGATTGAGTCACTCAGGACGGCACAGGAGTAGCAAAGTTTGAAACCCAGACAGTCTCCTTCATGATTCTTCCCTTTAGGGCAGGGTGTTAAGGCTTTTTTTCCAGCTTCTTTGATTTAATGGTTGTGGAGTTTTCACCTACTACCAGAACTGTTGTCCTGTTTGCTGTCCTTTAAATGTCATAATGTTCATATAATGTCTCTGTGTGGGGTGCACATGTTTGTGTGAGTATATACATGTGTGTGCACGATCATGTACATGTTCATGAATGTAATCATAAATGTAGGAGTCAGAGGTTAACTCTTGGTGTCTCCCTCTCTCTTTTTTACCTTATTTTTGAAATGTGGTATCTCACAGAGCCTGGAGAACACTGACTCAGCCAGATTGGGCGGCCAGTTAACTATGGGATCCCCTTGTGAAAACCTTACCCACATAATGCTGGGTAACAGCTTTTTTCTGCTATGCCCAGCTTTCTTGTTCTTGGCCATCTGTCCTCAAGTCAGCATATATTTTACTGACTGAGCCATATCCTCAGACTCTGATTTTACTAATTTCTCCTTTCCTTCTATATTTACATATAAAATTAAAAAGCTAAACTAAGGCTTAACCTTGCTGTTCCTCAAGTACAAGAGTTTGTGCTAGCTCACTTGGAGGCATCAATCCTACTACATATGAAGGAGTTAGCACATGACCCTGCCTCAGTTGTGACACTATGCTTCCGACTGACTTTTATGCTAATCTTCAGACACTGTCTTTTATTCAGAAAAGTCCTGTCCCAGAGTCATTATGAAGAATAAGAACAATGGAAAGATTCTCTTAAGGAAAGTTTTTACTCCTTCATTTCTTTCTGAAGTTGCAGGACCTCTTTTCTATTTTACTGCAATTTGAAGTTGGTAAGATGGTTAAACTTGTGACGAGCTGATGAGAATTTCAAGGATTTCTTTCATTTCCTTTGCTTTTGTGAGGTCACAGGCTTGATATCACTTTGCAAATCTTGGATACCCAAAGCACAGCAGTAGATGCATTCACTGGTGCACAGCTTCTGTAGAGAATGGTGATGTTTAAGTACTCATGCTCACAGGTGAAGGTTAGGTTCACTACTGCAGAGTGCACAAGAAGAAAGGAATGAGCTACACACTCCTGTTATTTCAGATAAGTAACAGAGGCTACACGTGAAGTATCCCACATCCTTTTCTGCTCTTCAGGTTTTGATAAATTATTTTCTATATCTTCTATCATTTCTAACACACCACACTATTTAGATAAACATTAAGTATTTTCTTTAGCATGCCAAGTTCAATTTGACTTTACTTTATATGTGAGTTTTGGCAGTTGTATCTCATTTTACTTGTAGATTTTGTTCATTATATTACTTAGGTCAAAAATTCTTTTAGGAAAACTAGATTTTGCAATGTGTGCTTATTATTAGAGCACTTGGGAGACCGAGACAGAGGGACACTAAGTTGCACAACATGACTTTATTATAAACAATAAAAGCTACATTTCTAAGAAAAACAAATGTGCAAAAATCCAACATCAGAAATATAGTCATCCAGTCATCATTACTAGGATGTGACTGCTCATCTTCCTGTTTGGTTGACATGTGTCAATCAATGTGTGAGCCACAGAGTATAAATTGTTTCTGCACAGATGACATTGGAATAAGATACTCTCGTGTCTCTCAATAAATGTGTAAGTGTTGTGAGAAAGATCACTAGTGTTTCAGATTAAAATATTTACTTGTCTCATGCTATTAAAATGAAATTGCAAATTGTTTGAAAGCTATTGATTCATTAATATCCATTATATTTCTAGCTACAGAATGATCCAGAATTTAAAGACAGAATTAAGGCACAAGCTTTGATATACCCTGGTCTACAATCACTTGATACTTTTCTGCCATCTCATCGAGAGTATGAACATGGTCCAATTCTGCCCAGGGAGATGGCAATTAAGTTGGCGTCCCTATATGTGACTGAAGACAAAGCTCTGCCCCAGGCCATACTGAGAAATGAGCACATGCCACCAGAGTCAAGACATCTTTTCAAGTTTGTTAATTGGAGTGATTTCCTTCCTGAGAAGTATAAAAAGAACCATGTTTACACTGAGCCAATTCTTGGAAATTTGAATGCTTCCTATCCAGCACTTGTAGATAGCAGGCTGTCCCCTTTGCTAGTCAATGACTCTCAGTTACAGTGTTTGCCATTAACTTATATCCTCACATGTGAACATGATCCCATAAGAGATGATAGTCTCATTTACATCACACGGCTTAGAAATGTTGGGGTTCGAGTTACTCATGACCACATAGAGGAAGGAATCCATGGAGCCCTGTCATTTACCAGAGCTCCAGTTTTTTTACATCTAGGATTAAGAATAAGAGATAAGTATATTAGTTGGCTAAAGGAAAATCTATAAATCAATGGTAAATGTATCTAGGCAGTTAGTAAAGTAACCTGAAAGTTATGTTTTGAACTGTTGTATGATGAATGAGAACAAAATGATCTGGCTTTAGATAAAGCTACATTTCAATTTGAATGAAGATTATTTTGTACGTTTAAGAAAATTACTTAATCTTCTCAACATCAAAAACATTGCTAAAATGCAGATACACAATTCTGAATTACCATTAATTACCATTTGTTGTGAAAGATGTATTCTTGAATATTCAAAGGTAGAACATCGAAAAACTGCGTATGTGGTTACATGTAAAAAATGCTTGTGATTCAAGTCAGTGATAAACCAAATTCAGAATATATTCTATGAAAAGATAATTTTGAACAAAAATGAATTGTACAATGAGAACTGGATGGGTTGACACATTACTCTATAGCACTCCAGAGACAGAGACCGGCAGATTTCTGTGAGTTCAAGACAAGACTGGTTTATGTAGTTAATTCTAGGCCAAACATTGCTATATAACAGTGGTTCTTAACCTGTGGGTCACGACACCTTTGATGTTTGAATGATGCTTTCACAGGGTTCGCCCAATACCATTGGAAAACAGGTATTTACATTATGATTCATAACAGCAGCAAAATTACAGTTATGAAGTAACAACAAAAATAATTTTATGTCGGGAGTCATCACAGCAAGAGGAACTGTATTGAAGGGTCACAGCATTAGGAAGGATGAGAACCACTGCTCTATGGTGACATACTGTCTCAGAAAGTCAAGGAAGAGTATGAAAAGAAACCATGAATGAGGATAAAGTATGATAAAATGGAATTGTAATGACATGAATGTACTGAGCATTCTACTGTACTTCTGCTATGGTTTTTCCAGTCATGTGCTGTCCATACATTATTTTGGTCTGCTCTAGTTTAAGTTGGTTGCTGTGTTCACTCATTCACCATGAGGTTTATATATTGCTTTTACAAGAACACTTTGTATATTGGAGGAAAAAGTTAACAGTACTACAAACTGTTCTAAAGTTTAAACAGTTTGGCCTTATTTAAACTTTTGTAAGATCAAACTTGAAGGTATCTACATGGATTGGTTTTATTGATAGACAATGTCTCTTACTGCATGATGATGCCCAGCCAACTGAGGAGTACAGGTAGAGTTATTTATAGTATTGTTTTGAATTTCTGTAGTGAATCATTGTGCACACAGAGGCTGCAGATCTGGGGAGGTATCTGAGTTGGTGATGCCCAGACCTGTTTGCTTCTCTGTGATGAGGGGACCTATGCTCTTGTCAGCACAAATCAACTCATAAATACTCACATTTCTGCTGGGGAGCATTGAAATCAATTGCAATTTCCTGATGTCCTGGTGGTTCTGCTGCTTGGGTATAGTTGTTTGACCTGTTTGTGTTTTTTCCTTAATGCTGAATAAACTTGTGAAATGGAAGTTATCTGTGTCTCATGGATTTAGTTGGCAATCTGACCCTCCTCTCCAAACACATTTTCACTAATGCTTTTCTGCAGCTTGAACTTGTTTGGTTATCTCAACCATGAGCTGCTCACTAATCTGTCAGACGTCAGCACATGAGTGCCTTCACTGACATCTAGACACTAAGCTGTTGCAAGAAAATCAGAAGAGTTGACTAGAAGGTTTCTTTGCTGTTGTTTGTGGCACTATACATCTTTAGTAACACCACTCTGCTTGCTTCATTTCTAAAAGAGAGGGAATATTGATCATCTTATATCAAACTGTGAGATGTCAGGCTCAGAGCAGTAGGAACATGATACAAACCCGGTACATGAGCTAGCTTGTTGGAGCCCATTCCCTATGGTGGGATGCAAAGCTCAGTCTTAATGCATGGGGAGTGGCCTAGCCCTGCCCCAACCTACTATGTCAGACTATGTTGATTCCTCATGGGAGCCCTTATCCATGAGGAGGAGTGAACTGGGCTGGGTTAGGCAGGAGGAGGGGGAGGGTTGGAGGAGGTGAGGGATGTGGGAGAAGGCAAAGGGAGTGAGGAGGGGGGGTTCGAGGGAGAACTGTAGTTGGAATATAAAATGAAATCAAAAAATAAAAATGGAAAAAAATGAAAGTTGCTTGTCTTCATTAGCTATTAATGGAAAACCTAAGGAGGGCTACAAGGACATAGGCAGACATGGAAAGTGAAAGTGGGTTCCCTCAGGTGACAGATTCTTCTTCCAGAAGATATTTGAGGAAAATAGCTGGAGATGGGCCAGAAGTGGGTATCTAAAAATAAATAATAGAGGAAACATGAGGACCCAGTAGCCCCATAAAGCACCAAACCCAGAGCCTGAGTAGCAAATGACCAGCTTAGAATCTCCCATCCCAAAGGGAGCTGTTTGTAATACATCTATTACTTCTCTTTCTCTATGGCTTAGCGTTATGTCATCCCTGGATGTTTAATTCTTTGTTCTTACCATGGAATGTGCCCAACAATTCCCCAAGTGACCACCTGCACTCTTGTTACAGTACTTGGAGTTTCAGTCAGAATTTGAGAAGGTCTCTTCTCTGAATTGGTATACCAAACTGAAAAAGGAGGAATCAGAAAAGGCTATAATAGTCTGCTACTGCCTCTACTCTTTCTGAATGAGGGGACCCCCCTCCCTAACCATTGTACCATGTATGGTCAGATCCTCCATCTATGCCAGAAGTGAGGAGAGTGAGAGACTGGAGCTGATGATGGTGGTCTTTGATCTCATTAAGGGAAAGAAAAATCTCTCCTGAACAACAAGGACTGGGATTACACAGTCACTCCTAAGCCAAGTGACGCTGCCAACTGGACCCCAAGAAACTGATCATCTTCCCAGGATGGAAGGATGAGAGAGGGCTGATTCCCTACTCAATATTCCTGGGAAAGGCCCATTGAGAGGGTCACCTCTATGTTTGAACCACTGTGAAATAGCTAAGTGTAGGTACATCAGAGTAGGCTGGCGTTTCTAAGCCTTTCTAAGCTTTCTCTCTGCTTCTTGAGCCACTGTATCTAGGCAAAACCTGAATTTGCTCTGAAGTTTCCTGATGTAGAGAAATGAAAGTCATATGAAACTTGCTTTGAGTTTGAGTTGGAAAGTACCTGAGATTCAAAGGGGGTGGCTATGAGTGAGGTAGGAGTGAAACTTCCGTGTATTGGAAACTTTCATTGGGTGATGGCACCCCTGAGGCACTTTAGCTGTTTATTTGGAACCCACATGGCTACTGAAAACTTGTCCTTGATCTCCCTAAGAGTCCTTAAGAAGAGAATAATGAATATCCCTCCTTAAAGCTTTCTTAACAAAATCCACACTTACACATGGGACCCTGCACTGTCACTTACCTGTGATCTGCTTAACGGATGTGATATCTGAGCTGTGGAGGGAAGGTTTGGGGGTGGCAGGAGTAGCATCTCCCTTAGGTGGCTATCTAGCAGACACTAGCTCTGACCTTTAAAATTCCCTTCCACTCAAACATACCAAGTCTTTAACCCAGGACTCCCCATGCCTGTGTTATATGTGCAAATGTTCTTTTCTGGCCTTAAAGAAGATGTTCAGCTATGGGTTGGGGGTCCTCAAGCTGCTGGGAGAGTGTATAATAAAGTGACATAAACACTAATTGTAGGGTAGGGGGTCACAGGGACAGGGCTTGCCTAACATATAAGAGGCCCTGGGTTTCATCCCCAGCTCTGAAAAATAAATCATAGCTAAGCATTCCATGGTTAAGCTGTGAGAAGATGCTGGCTTGAGTTGTGAGTAAAATGGGTTGTTTTCTTGCTCTGTGAGTCTTAGGACCTGTTGCAGGCCTCTGTGTTTCCCAACAACTTAACAATTTATGCCAAGCACTGTCAGCAAAGAAGGCAATTTCAGGGAAGCCCCTGAATGTACAGAGGAACACACTATGTGTGGTAGAAACCACACACTCCTGCACAGTCAGGAGAATAAAAGGGGAACAAGTGTTGGGGCTCTGCTATGTTCTGAAACCCAGGTTTTGTTTTCCCTTCTTCCTGGTTCATGCTTCTCATGGATATAAGGCAGGCATAGCATCTAGTTTCACTGCATGTTGTAGTCTGGATGTTAATTTTCTACTTCAGACCTTATTCTGTCCTTGATCTGGTCATTAGTGATGGGGAGGGATCTCTGAATCTATAGTGTTATCTTAATGGACAAGAGTGTCCTTGCAAATGTACACCAGTTGTACCCAGGACTCTTCTAGCTTCATAATCCCTGAGATTATGACAACGTTTCCTCCCAATTGGATACCCTCTTCTAGACTAGAGATGGCTTTAGACCTCTCCTTGTTACAATCTCTGTGTAAATCTGATGGTAAATAGAATGTTTTGAAGGATGACAGCCAGCATCAAATATCTCAAATGAAAATGGGGCTATAGAAAAACAGGGCCTGAGTCCCAGCAAAGAGGGACAAGAAGGTGATATGGCCTGAGAAAGACCAAAGGAGGAAACTAGAAGATTGAAGGGGATTGAAACCAAGGGCAGATGAGGAAATCCTACTGCTTGTTCTAACCTATCCTCACACAGAATAGACTGCACCCATTGTAACTACTTGACAGACTGATGATGGCCCTCCAGGTAAACTAGGGAGTGTGGGTAGGGAAAGGGCAATCTGGATAAGACTTTCTTTTCTTCTTCTGTTCTTTAAAATAGAACAAACTGGTTCCAAGACTCCTCCAAAGCTCTCAAACAGGGGGCAGAATTAGACCCTCAGCCACTCAAACAAATGAAAAATGAGTACATTTTGTTTCTTTTTTCAAGAGGCATGGCCCTGGTGTTTCCTAGTGTAGACATGTGTGTAAATGGTTTTAGTGTGTGTTGTATATGTGTGTTTGTGTACACGTGGATGTGCTTATCCTTGCATTTGAATATGGAGGCAGATAGTCAACATCTTCAACTTTCCTCTTAGCTCTCCCCTTTAGTTTTTGAGAGAGGAACTCTTGCTGAGCCTGGGGATTGCCATTTAGGTTTGACTGGCTGGCCAGGAACTAATAGGTATCTGCTTGGCTCTGT